ACTACAAACCACCTCTGAACAAATGTTGCAAAGAAAAAGAAGAAGAAGAAGAAGAAGAAGAAGAAGAAGAAGAAGAAGAAGAAGAAGAAGAAGAAGAAGAAGAAGATGATGATGATATAGGATCAACATAGGGTCACCTAAATTGGAAACAATTTGAAGGTATGTTCTTAGGCAAGTCATACACTCTCAGCCTCAGAAGGAGGCACTAGCAACCATCCCCCCAAACCTTGCAAAAGGCACAAGAAAACCTTGTGATAGACTTGCCTTAGGGTCGCCATAAGTTGGAAACTACTTGAAGACACACAACATCAATAAATCATTGTGTACATCCAACCAAAATTATTGTATAGATGGGCAAGGTTGCCAAGCATGGAAATAAGTGTCCAGGAAACCACAGTCTCTTGAGGAAAGGGGGTTGTTGTCGTTGTTTGAATCAGTGAGTGTCCTTGGCAAATGTCTTCTGCAAAACCCTATGATAAGATTGACCTAAACTGGAGGCAGCTTCAAGACACAGAACAGCAACAACAGGTACTACCATTAGGCAGCTCAAGGTAGCTGATACTTTGGGAGAGGCACCATGGCAGTCCGACAGCCCTTCGTCCATCCTGAATGGTCTGGAGATGTCCTTTCCTTCAGGAAAAGAGTACCTAGGCTAGACATCTGCTCTCAGGTCCCGCAGAAGGACCTTCTCCCATTGTCAGTCTTGCAGAACGTTATGACCACCAGTTCTGTTTGGCTTCAGCACATGAAATAAAATGGAAACCATCTTGGTTCTTTCCCTCATGTAACAAACTGTTTTGGTTTGGCTCTGCTTCATGGAGGGATTTGTTTTAAACAAAGAAACCTTCTGTCATATGATGCCCTCCCCATACATTACCAGACATCTGGAGTGGCACTGTCAGGTCTAATGGTTTCTATCATCATCATCATCATCATCATCATTTATTTATTTAAATAAATAGCATTATCAATTTACCTGGTGTTTTACAGGTACAACAACCAAAAACAGTGGGTCCTTCCAGAGGTGTACAATCTAAAATGTGTGCACATATATACACACAGAAGTGAGGGAGGACTAATGAAATAAAACTATAAAATACAGTTATAAAACAAATTATCTAGGTAAAATACAAAAAGCTACAATATCGTATAAAACAAATTAACCAATAAGAAGTCAAAGGCTTTCACGGTCAGCACGGTCTACAGTTTTCTGTGGGTTTTTTGGGCTGTGTGGCAAATTTATGGCGGAATTTATTCCTGACGTTTTGGAGGAATTTATTCCAGCAA